TAATTAACACTTATTTTTGTTACATTCATTCAGTCTATGAACCCATATTATCCGGTAATGACCGAATATACAAATACCATTGAAACACAACCTTTGTCAGGGATTTTTTTTGGTTGTTACAGCAATGATAAAGCAGGCGTACTTTTAGATGCATTGTAAAAGTTGTAATATTTTTCGCTGTACTTCTTTACTAATTAGAGGTCATTTCCTTTTGCTATTAAAAACACATCTGTTTTCTAAAAACAAAAAAAAAACTTCTTCTCTGCAAATAACTGCTAGATACCTTGCTAATGATACATTATTTGGTGTTATGATTCAGTAATTTGTGTAAAAAAGATAACTAAATAAAAATTGAAAAAAACTGTAAATATAAAATATTTTAATCAACTAACACAATTTCAAAAAATTTACAAATATAACAAACGTTTTTTTTATTACAGTTATTGAATTGAAGGCAAAATTTATTTAAATTTATTGAAAATAAAATGGAATTGCAAGTAACACTTCATTGATTAACATAAAGTTACAATCACAAAAGCCACTTCAGAAGATAAGTTTGATCAAATCTATTTTTCTTAGATAAAAAAGCTGTAATAAACAGTAATATGTCAACTTACTTGTTGTATCCAAACCACCTCGATAGTTACCCCAGTTTCGCAGTGTTATAGTTTTTCCAAGTAATTCAAGAAAACGAGCAAAATCTTCATCGCCATGTTCTAAAAAAGTGACGAAGGCACAGTTTAATTTATTCAACTTTCACGATACATCTCCTATCCTATCAGTTATTTGCTTGAGAGAAGAAAGAAAGAATAACAATTTTCAAGCAAGCAACAATAAATTCACTGGGTAAACAGGGTGTAAAATTGACAAAAAAGTAGAGTAATTTTTAATAATGAAAATCAAAAGAACTTATTATGAAGCGATAAAATAGGTATCCAATTGTTCAAAAAAACGTCAAAGAATAAATAAACAATTTTTTCAATCGGCTTTTAATTATGGAAAAAGTGTTTGATATACTGACGATAAGCTGATAACTAATTTATACACCTTAATAATCATTACTTTTGAGACATAAACATTTTTAGTCATTTGAGGTTTCTAAAGAAACTGTTAATGACAGAATACTAAACAGGTCTACTGCCTTTCAGCAATATGGTATTTCAAAAACTGACTGTTACTTCATA